CCAACGAGAGCGACACTCACAGCGCCCCCTCCACCGAGCCCGCTCGCGTGGACCAATGGCGATCGTCGCCGCGTGGTGGGGGGTCCCTGTCGGCCAATGATGGAGAGGGCAGCTGGGGGGTGGGGCTGGGGGGTGGGGCTGGGGGGGGATGGGGACACGGAGGCGTGACCTCGTGACCTCGCAGCGTCGGGCCTCGTTTGGTGACATCGCTGATGGGGGGGGGGAGCGCCTCTCGCATTGGGGGGTCGTCTCCGGCGCTCTCCCTCTCGCTCCTTATCTCTCCCCCCCACTCCATCTCCTCTTTCTTTGTCCCTCTCTCTCTCCCTCCCTCGGCACCCTCGTGTTCACCTTCTGAAGCGCTCGCTCGTCACCGTGGCGTGCGCGATGACCACCACCACCACGTGGCTTTTATTTCGTGTTGTGCGCGGTGCTTTTAGCGTCACAGCGCGTGGATTTATAGCATTTGTTTGCTTATTTGTTTGCTGCTGGTGACTTTGTGTATTTCATATCGGAATCGCCTCCAGTGCTGTTGCTGCTGGCGGCAATAAAAGTTGTTTAGAAGTCAAAAGTCTCTCACTTTCTCTCCACCTTCTCTCTCGCCGTGATATCTCTCTCTTCTCCGTGCCGGTTCTGTTAGATTCAGACACGTACGTGCACTATGTGTGTTGAACTTCTTTTGCGCCGTACGTAGCCGACCGTGGCTAATCGGTGGTGCGGGAGAAAGGACAACAAACTAAACACGAAAAGCAGTTCGCAAGAAGTGAGTTCGTCAATCTCGATGATGCTTTTAAAAGTTGCATCGCTCCAGTGGCTTGCAAATATTTTTCAGTTTCATTTATTAGGTATAGCCCTGTAAGCCATTCGGCTCTTGAATCGGGTGCCACCGCAACAAACAAAACACTAAAACATGAACAAGAAAACATCTTAAAGTGACTATGCGCAAACAGAAAAATCCAGGAAAAAACTGCAAAGTCTTCCAGAAAAAAAGCACCGTACACCAACGCTGTGTGCAAAAATCCCAGTGGAATGCAAGTCAAACAACAACAACCACAAGATAACTTAGATTAAAGCCATCATTCTAACTCCGTACCACAACAAACAAACATGGCCAAACCAAAACAGGTAGGAGAGCGTTCCAGACGGCCGCGGAAGCAGCATCCGAAAGCGCCGCTCGATGTGGTGACCGCCACCGTCTTTGTTCGATGGCGGAGTCATAAGCCGTCGCCGCTGCTGCTGCGAGGGTGGTCACCGAAATGTCGCGTGGTGGTGATGATGATGGTGGTGATGGTGATGATGGTGGTGGTGATGGTGATGATGGTGGTGATGATGGTGATGGTGGTGGTGGTGATGGTGGTGATGGTGGTGGTGATGATGGTGGTGATGGTGATGATGGTGATGATGGTGGTGATGATGGTGATGATGGTGGTGATGGTGGTGGTGATGATGGTGGTGGTGATGATGATGGTGGTGGTGATGGTTATCATGATGGTGGTGGCGATGATGGTAGTGGTGATGATGGTGGTGATGGTGGTGATGATGGTGATGATGGTGGTGATGATGGTGATGATGATGGTGGTGATGGTGATGATGGTGGTGGTGATGATGGTGATGATGATGGTGATGATAGTGGTGATGGTGATGATGGTGGTGGTGCTTCACGCTCCTGCGCAGCCGACCGATTCGCCCGGCTGTCTATGTACGGTGCGAAAGAGGCTCAACGTTGGCTCGCAATGCAGCTCGGCGAGCACCGGAGCGAACACGTGGTCCGACTTGATGGTCTCGTCACCACCACGTGACAGGGGACGTTGCCCGCGAGGCGCGTTGCTTTCTGTGCGCGCGCACGTGACCTCCGGGTCGTTCATCACTGCGCTGGGACGAGGGATCGAGTCTCCAATGTGCCCTCCCCCACCCCCCCCCCCTATCATCATCATCATGCCGAGGTGCGGCGATGGCCACGTGTTGAGGATTCCCGCTGTTTGCGTTGTTCCCAGATTGTTGTTGTTGTTCCCAGCTTGTTGTTGTTGTTCCCAGCTTGTTGTTGTTGTTGTTCCCACACTTCTGCTCAGCACTGCCCATATCGCTTCTGAAAAAAACACGCTACACAGCTCAGTGGGGCTTTAGCTGGTAAAATAAAAATAGTTGAGTTTTTGTTGAGTTTGGTCTGGGGCGGGAGTCCATCAGGTCATCTCCCGCAGGAGAGAGAGAGAGATGGGGGGGGGGGGGGGGGGGGGGTGCTCCCTCTGTGGAAGAGAGAAGAATCTTCGGCCCTACTCATCCACGCAGGGCCAAGATGTTGGGTAGATGGTTGTGGGGCCGAGGCGAGGGTTACCCTCGTGGCTGGCTGCCGAGAGGCGCGTGTGGGAGTGAGTGGGGCTTTCGCCGTGCGGCTGAGCTGTAAGAAGATGTAAGAATGGTTTCTAGTTAAAGATTCTTTGCCTCTCCTCCTTGTTTCAGCTGCCCATTAGATCTGTTTCTCATTACGCCCCGAGCTCGAGCGAGATTGACGCGATCATAAATAGGATTATGTAGAGGGGTTCTTAGTTATTATTATAGAAAAAAAAATGTCAACCCGGGGATTCCTCGTGGGATTTATGTGTTTTGTTTCACAATGGCCACGGCGTTTGATGTGGCGGGTCGCCGGTGCACAGAGCTCCCGTGGAGAGTGAGGGCAGACAGCGTCACAGAGAGTTAGCCTCAAGCCTGCAGCCTCCACCACCACCACCATCATCATCAACCCCCAAGCTGTAGCCACCACCACCATCATCCCTCAAGCCTGCAGCCTGCAGCCTCCACCACCACCATCATCATCCTCCAAGCTGCAGCCTCCTCCACCACCATCATCATCCCCCAAGCTGCAGCCTCCACCACCACCATCATCATCATCATCCCCCAAGCCGCAACCTTCACCACCACCACCATCATCCCCCAAGCTGCAGTCTCCACCACCATCATCCCTCAAGCCGCAGCCGACTCTGTGTGTGAGTGTGAGCGTGGGTGAGTGTGTGTGAGCGTGGGTGAGCGTAAGTGAGTGTGAGCGTGGATGAGTGAGTGTATGGGAGCGTGGATGAGTGTGTGTGTGCGTGGGTGAGTATGTGTGTGTGAGCGTGGGTGAGTGTGTGTGTGTGAGCGTGGGTGAATGTGTGTGTGAGCGTGGGTGAATGTGTGTGTGTGAGCGTGGGTGGGTGAGTGTGTGTGAGCATGGGTGAGTGAGTGTGAGCGTGGGTGAGTGTGTATGTGTGAGCGTGGGTGAGTGTGTGTGTGAGCGTGGGTCAGTGTGTGTGTGAGCGTGGGTGACTGTTGGGCAAGCGCTTTTAGCGAGCACCTATGAAGGACGGCACGGCACTCGAGGGGGTGTTAGCAGGCACCACGCCCGGCCGTCTTTATCTCACCAGTGGCGATGGTTACACACCGCAGCAGGTACCTATTTGAGGCTTAGTCGACCTAGGGGAGGCCTAAGACCGGTTCAGACAATCGTCACTCGTGGTGACCGTGAGCAGGAATCGAGCCCGGGTCGCTGGGTTCGTAGTGCAGCGCAGCGCTAACCACTGCACCACCGCTCCCCACAGGCCACGTCCCAGTGACAGCAGCAGATCTACTGGAAATCTGTGAAAAGAGCTTAATTTTTCATTTAAAGCTTTCGTGACTGCAGGGATTCATATTCTTGGTTCTTTCGGTAAAGTCACGTAGAAGGGAAATAATAAAATAATATAAATATAAAACAATAAAAATTCTCACTACGTTTTGACTGCAACACAAGCAATCATCATCAGGTGTGAAATCCACAGCAAGAAAATTAGCAAACGTCTGAGAATTTGTATTGTTTTATATTTATATTATTTTATTATTTCCCTTCTAAGTGACTTTACCGAAAGAACCAAGAATAAGAGCTTAATTGCTTATCGGATTCCTCCAATAAAAATACATATTCTTGATTCTGAAATCTGTGTAGCAGCCGTGCACAGGCTGGGTGCAAGTCGGGTAGTCGTGAGTTGCGGCGTCTGTCGCACTCGTTTATTTGTTTTAATCGATGGTAATTACAGCACGTGAACGTAAAGTACAACATAATTACACGCATTGACAAGACAATAATTTGCGACGTAGTTATTGGTTTCTTGATTGCACGGCATAACTTTTTTGCCTCATTGTCACCAGTTGCTTTATAACAAAAACATTTTTTTTTCAAAATTTCAAAGTCTTGCATCGGGTATCCGCGTCCTTCGTCAGACAAGAGACGACCGCCATTTTTATTCTGCTCCAACGTCATCGCATCGACACCGCGTCCACCCACGTGGCAGCCGGTGACGTCACAACATGTCAGTTACCTCCACGACGTCAGAGTGCTGCGGTAATTGCCAGAACTGCGGCTCTGCCTACACACGGTGGCTAGGAGATGTTAACTGCCTCGCCTGGTCTACAGGGAGTCATGGGCTCGATATCACAGTGGCTAGGGGATGTTAACTGCCTCGCCTGGTATACAGGGGGTCATGGGCTCGATATCACGGTGGCTAGGAGATGTTAACTGCCTCACCTGGTCTACAGGGGTTCGTGGGCTCGATATCACAGTGGCTAGGAGATGTTATCTGCCTCGCCTGGTATGCAGGAGGTCGTGGGCTCGATATCACGGTGGCAAGGAGATGTTAACTGCCTCGCCTGGTCTACAGGGGTTCGTGGGCTCGATATCACGGTGGCTAGGAGATGTTAACTGCCTCGCGTGGTATGCAGGAGGCCGTGGGTTCGATCCAGACCAGGACGTCTGCTGTTGTATATGAGTAGTTTGCGTCTCTTTCTCTCGTGTTCGCGTAGATCAAGCGTTTAGAGTATTTAGCTATGGCTATAAATGTCCATATGATGAGCTACTTCGTTGTGCTATCGTTTGTGGCCTGGACGATTTTGAAAAAAAGAGCTATACAGCTTAGTGGGTGGGGCCTTACCTGGTAAAATAAAAAATGCGTATCGTTTAGTTTTACAACTGCATGCATTTACAAACATTTTTTCGCATGAAATTTGATTATAAATTAAACTAATTGGAGGGGTCGTTCGAGGATTGTCTCTTCAGCTCAAAGTAATGAAATATCCAGCAGCGTTTGACTAATTTAGCTCAAAGTAATGAAAAATCCAGCAGCGTTTGACTAATTTAGCTCAAAGTAATGAAAAATCCAGCAGCGTTTGACTAATTTATATTTTTGTAAATATAAAAGTTTGAGAAATCCCGACGTACAGGTTATCTATATTGTCCAATCAGCGTCGTGTCACCGCGCGAACACAATCATCACCTCTTCCATAAAAACGGGTTTTTTGGGTTAGATATAAGTATAAATGTGTGGTTAACCCATCCCCACCTGACACAGCCAATTAGTAATGTCCGTCACGTAAACAAAACGTGGCATTTAGTTACTAGTTCAGCACTAGCCGGTTGTGGGTTGCAGAGTAACCCCCACAACAACGTTTACGTCACCTCGTGTCCGAGTTCGGCTTTCCGGCAAGAAGACGCCACAGAACGATTTCTGAAGTCACTTAAAAACCGGCCTCTTACCCAGGTCGACGTGAGGTGCCATTCCTTGACATCTGGCTTTTTTCCCAATCTCCAATCCGTACGACGCACCACACTACATTTCGTCGTGTTTACCAATTCACAATCCACTCAAATGAAACAAGAATCCGACACTGCACTTGCGTCATGGTTCTTAAGCAAGTCCCACGTGACACGATGCGTAATTGACGCTGACTGCGATACGCGAGTCGTTTTAAATGAAGATCTCAGTGTGTATGCGTGCGTACACGTGTTCCTTGTGTGTACACGTGCTCCTTGTGTGAGTGTACGCGTATTCCGTGTGTGTACACGTGTTCCACGTAAGCGCGTGTACACATGTGTGTGTATGTACACGCGTGTGTGTGTACACGTGTTCCTTGTGTGTACACGTGCTCCTTGTGTGAGTGTACGCGTGTTCCTTGTGTGTACACGTGTTCCACGTAAGCGCGTGTACACGTGTGTGTGTGTGTACACGTGTTCCACGTAACGCAGACATCGCCATTTTCTCAGCGCGCGCCACGTGGGTAGTGTTTAACCAATCGGATGCGTGTAGTGTGGGACGAGTTGAGTTGTACTTGAATGTGAAAGAACGTGGCGTTGTTGGTGGGCCGAATGGAGTTTGTCAAACCCTACTTAATACGCCTTATAAATAGAGTCCATAGGTTCGTAATGAAAGCAATGTTTATTACGTGTTAAGCTGGAATATGTCACGTGAAGTGAAAACGCACCTTCTCTGCAGTAATTGGTGAACCGTTCGAAATATAAACAGGGACTCTTCTACTTACGAACATTCGAATTATGACCTTTCAGAGATACGAACAAACCTGTCCGTATGTCCAGTTGCCTGTTCGGACAGATTTGTAAGTTCAACTGCCGCGCAATGGAGGGCGGTGGTGGCATCTACATCTGCAGAACGTGAAGAACCAGTAGCATCTACATTTACAGGACATTATACAACTTGTATGCCATTCCCCGCGTTTAGTGTTCACGCCGTACAACACGTTTGAAATCGGCAGGAGTAAAGTTGGACTTACGATCAAATCGACTTACGAACAGACCTCTGGAGAACCCAACTCGATCGTAAGTAGATGAGTCCCTGTAAATATGAAAAAAACATTTTATACACTTGTTGAGCTGGCGGTTTAATCACATAATCAGAATTTTTATTTAAACTTCAGGAGGAATCTGATGAGCCATGAGGCTCTTTTTCACAGACGTCCAGGAATCACAGGTTGCGCGGAACTACAATTCAAACTCGGGAAACGCAGTGGCATCAGCATCTCATCTCTCATTCGGTTAACATAAACCCCTCTTTCTCTCTGGCAAACGCGATTCTCATTTGCCCATCAGTAGTCTATAGAGCAGCAGTGGCCAATACGTGGATCACCAAATGCGTTGTGTGGATCTCAGGCCTAATCAGAACACTGCAACCATTTGTTCGCTATGGTTGATAGGAAAAAAAAACCCCACTAAGAATCCACACGAAAACTTGTACCGATGCAGCAAGTCCTTGCTTAACGCGCGTTTGTTCACACTATAACGCGTTATCGCTGCGACATGGTTCTTCCATAAGGTAACACACTCTTCGCACAACACGGAGCGCACACCCTCGTTATAACGCTGAAAGCACACCGTTATAACGTGGAGCGCCGCACTGTTATAACTCTGAACGTGTTGCACCGTTATAACGGTGAACGTGCACCGTTATAATGCGGAGTGCATGCCGTTATAACGCGGTTTCTGAGCGGTCGAAGACGAACTACTTTCTTGAACTGCTCGGCTGACACGGCACAGGGAGTGGTACAGTACCGCGGCAGCGTATTCTCACCACGTCCTGTGCGTAGTAATAGTAGCATGTCGTGTTTCGTAAAAAAAATACTTCATCGCTACTACATTCCTTATGGGGAAATTGTTTTCGTTAAATCCGTTTTTTCCGCTATAATGCGCCATTTTTTCAGAACGCGACAAACTCCCGCTCGCGCGTAAAAAAACGAGGGACTTGCTGTGGAAGGCACGGAGACTTTATCAGTCCAATTATGATGGGACTTTTTTGCCAGTATCAAAAATAAAAAAGGTATCCCTTAATATAGCTGCTCTCCCCGAGGTGTAAATGCTCTGTCTTTGTACCGCTTGCCTTTTAGCGTTCTCTGCTCTGACACTGGTGAGACGAGGCCCCTAAAGAAGGCTGCTATCTCTGGTGTAGGCCAATCAATTTCAAAGACAATGCATCATACCTGATCAGAGCCACGTGTGTTTGCACGTTCACCACAGGCACCGTGTGTGGTTAATGTCGACTTGATTCCTTGCAAAAGATTTGGTGTTTGAACATCTGAACACAACTCCTGTTGTTTTGCCAGAAAGGGGTGAGTTAAATCCATCCCGGTTAATCGTTGGGGGTCAACAGCTCTTACTGGGTGGATCAGTGGAGACCCGATGAGACCCAAACTCACTGGGCCCATCGACAGTGGCGCGTGGTGTCTGGCCCACGGCTGGTCTCGCCCTGTGGTTGGCTAAGACTGTAACTTGTTTCAACCGTAGTAAGGCCCCCCTTGGCCTGACCCAACATGGTTCTAAATAAATGAATGTCAATATTGTTTTTGGCAAATTGTCCACTTTGTGAGGTTAAATCCTAGCTAAGTAACTGCAGACGAATAAAATGGTTAAAATCAACGGCCGCTCTGTACGCGTTGTGTTCATTTGTTCCCGCTTGCTGGTTACTCTTGGAAAGCCACCGCCTTGCTTCAAGATCGGTTTAGAGTTGAGAAAGGTCTGTTAACTATCTTGCCTGGTAGACAGGAGGTCGTGGGTTCGATCCAAAGATGGTAACCACCTCGCCTGGTATACAGGAGGTCGTGGGTTCGATCCAGAGATGTTGACTACCTCGCCTGGTATGCAGGAGGTCGTGGGTTCGACCCTGACCCTGACGCCTGCTGCTGCTGTATATTTGGAGTTTGCGTGTCTCTCTCTCTCTCTCCCTGTTGTCGCGTGGATTTGTCTCCGGGTCCTCCGGATGTTCCCCTCCACATTTAGAATCAACATCGCCACGCGTCTTCGAGTATTTGGCTGCGACTATACATTTCCGCATTGATAAATAATAATCATTAAGCCGCCACGTCATCGAGTGGCTGTCAGTTGTGGTGGCCAGGGTCGCTTCTGAGGAAACGGCTCCATAGATGCTCAGTGGGGGCTTGGTAACATCAACAATAGTTTCAAGAAGCTCAAATTAAAGCAACTTTAAATTATGACCTGTACACGGATGTGAACTGAAGCGAGGTGCACCTTCCGTTGCTGACTTACACACACAAAGAGACACACATTTGGATGCATTCGTCACAGCACAGCTTGCAGAAGGGGTTTTCGGTGACCACGATCCGTGAATGGTTAAATAAAGGACACGGATACAAATCCTCGCCTGGCTGCAGAGACTTGTCGCAAGATTTATATTTGCCTTTAAAAAAAACAATCGGCAAAATCGTGGCATTTGCCATTTGATACCAAAAAAAATCACTCCCCCCCCCCCCTATGTTTAACTATTACATATAAATAGGAATTTACAGTTAACAATAATAAAATTAATCAATTGGTTATAGGTTACAACACACACACACAAACATCGAGTGGCACAGTGTGTCTATAAAGTATGTTGTATGCCGCACTGGTTTATCATTCGAGTTTCAACTTCTGCGTGTGCTGCTGGATGTTGGCTGTAAACTTGAGAGCGCGACCCATTTACAGATACCCCATTGATGGCTGGATGGCACCCGATCCTGCCTCTTACTTTCAGCTGCGCCTTTTGGCGTCATCTGGTCCAACACCATGTGAGACTAGGCTCTAAGAAAAGCTGTCTCGGGTGTGGACCAATCAATTTCAAGGACAGTGCATATCATTATCAGAGTTGTGTTTTTTGTTGCCAATGCAAACATGACTTCTTGTAAAAAAAGGTGTCAGTTGTGTTGCCAGATAAAAGGGTAAAAAAACAATTATCATTTCAGCTCAATAGTTGATCGAATAGTGAGCGCGGTGGTTCCATATCTTACAGAGGGGAGATTATGGTTAAATATGAGGATATGTTTTACCCTTTCTGGCAATAAAACAGTTGTGTTAAAATGTTCAAACAGCAAACAGAAATCTTCTGTAAAGAATCCTGTAACTGCATTAACCACACACACGGTAGCCGTGGTGAACACACAAACAAACAACACGCTCTGGTAGGATATGATGCGACATTGTCTTTCACACCGATTGTGTCCACGCCAGAGACAGCTTTCTTCAGAGCCTGGTCTCAAAAGGCGAACAGCACAAAGGCAGTGCCACAATCAGAGCATCCATAGCTCGGGGTTTGAGCAGCTACATCATGGGACCTAAACTATGTAATTAGTGGCAGACGTGTATAAGGTTTGAAATAAAATAAAATGGGTTTCTGGAATGTATCCCTATTACTTCAATGAGGTATGTACAAATGGATCGCCCTCTCATATGAATAAACATACATTTTAACTTGCCAAATATTCATTTGATTGTGGCATTTTTGCCCAACCATGTCCATCTCGTTTGTACACCATATACAAATATATGCACACGTAACTTTAGGATGTCACCTTAGATGAAAAGTAAAAATAAAAAGCCTACATTTTTGTCTGGCCTAGCGCTGATTGGTGAGCACATAGTTACCGGTTAGTGATGGGGCCAGCACCACACACACCCCGATGCGTGCGTGAGTCGGCATGGCCACTGCACGGTGTAGCAGCAGGCCTACGTATGTGAGGCAAAGTCAGCCTAGACGAGGCCTCCGCTGGGCATTGATGAGATATCAACAACCACGACATCCTGTTCACGTATCGGACCCCGGCAAACCGGGTCCACAGTGCGGTCAGTGCGCTTGCTAAACGCTACAATCACCACTCCACACGTCTTCGGGATCTCTATAATATATATAAAGACAAAGGACCCCCGTAATAGCCTCAACAGACTGCTGGGGCAAGTGCTATTAGCGAGTAGCACATATAGTATATACACAGACGTACATATACACACGCGCACAATCTACACGACGTGTTTTTTCCCGGCCTCCTGACTCAGGATTTGGGCCCCAGTCATTTCAGACTCCGCGCATTCTGCTGCAGAAACAGCCCCACGTCAGCGCCGTCGTGCGGAGACCCCAGGCCGGGCGCCGCTGCCGCCAGCGGGAGGCCCGAGCCGAATGGCGAACCGACGAGGCCCGCCGCCCAGGGCGAAGCCTCGTGGCCAAGGCCTTGGCACTGCTCGTCATCCTGGAACATCATCGAGGCGAGGCCTTCACCCACCGCCTGCTGCTGCTGCTGCCCGTACTGCTGCTGCCCGCCGCAGGCCGGAGCGGAGGCCCCGTTGCCCCACGCCTGGGCGAACGCCGCGGCGGCCGCGGTGGCCGCGTCCCAGCGGCGGTAGACGGAGGCCGGCACGGCTTCGACGCCGCAGCCTCGGTACGCGGGCTCGCACGGCGTTCCGGTCGCGACTGGAATCCACTCCGGGTGGTGGAGGCCACCGGAGGCGGCGGCCGACTGGGCGTTCTCCCCGCCGACTCCGCCGGGCGTCCACACCCTGCAGCCCGAGTTCATGGCATCCCCGACAACACCGCCGGTGCCGGCGGTGCCGGCGGTGGCGCCTGCCCCCCCGTAGAGCACGTACAAGCCGTCCGACGTGGGCCGGCCGTGCGAGCGGTCACCGTCGTCGCCCTCTCGGACGTAGGCCGACATCTCGGGCGGCGCGAGAGGGCCCACGGCGGGCGCGAGCTCGGCGGCGGCGGTGGTGGCGTACATGCAGGCGTGGCGGGCCCGCACCGGCTCGCAAGGGAAGCACGCCGGGTGCTGGCCGGGGAGGCCGCCGTGGCCCGGCGTCGCGGGAAGGCCCCCGTTGCCGTTACCGCCGCCTCCTCCTCCTCCGCGCTGAGGCCCCCCGCGCTTGCGGCCGCCGGCCGCCCGGTACGGGCAGTCACCTGCGGAGCGGTGGGCCGAGCGTTGCTCGTTATGTCAGCGGACGGGGCGCTCGAGGGAGGCTGGCGAGGATCTGGGTGTCGGTGACCCACGGCGATCATCGTCGTCGTCGTCGTCGTCACATTTCCGTCAACATGGCGCCGCACACGATTGTGAAATGGTGAAAAAGGCGCAGCCCTGCAACTACTCACCCACGCCACTGCTGGCGGAAGGGCGTCCGCTAACGAGAGATGGTACATCGGGGGCTACTCTTCCACGCCGGCCAGACATCTCGGACGTTGGTGGGAGTACCCACACTTTACCCCACTCCAACAAGGACAAAGATCCCCGTATAGTCTTAACAGACTGTTGGGGCAAGTGCTGTTAGCGAGTAGCAGCACCTAGAAAGGCCGGCACGGCACAAGAGGGGGTTGGGTAGCCAGCACCACGCCCGGCCGCCTTTCCCCCAGTGACGATGTTCACAGACCGCACCAGGTACTCATTCGAGGTCGAAGGCGACCTCGGGGAGGAGGCCCTGGAGCGGTTCGGATAATCGTCACCGGTGGTGTTGGTGGCCGCGGGCCGTCATTTGAAACCTCAGCTGCCACGCCGGGAGATTGAATCGCGATTCCAGCGGCAACACAAACGCTCACCGCTCGGGATCGCTTCCGTGAAGTAAATCCCACCGCCTCCTCCTCCGTCGATGGGTGGGACCAGTGTCCTCTCGTCGCCATGGAAACCCGAGTTGACGACGTGGGAGATGAGCGGGTCCCGGGGTATCCCGGGCCGTAGCACGGAGCGCGGGAGCACCGGGCACTCCTTGCTGTGGGTGGACGGACACAGACAAAGGTCCCCACACCCGTGTAGCCTTCGACAGGCTGCTGGGGCAAGTGCTGTGAGTGAGCCAGCACCTATGACACACAAGGTGGCCGACACTGCGCCTGGCCGCCTTTGTTTCCCCTGGTGCAGATGTGTAATTTGAGGCCGAGTCGACCTAGGGGAGGCCCAGAAGCGGTTCGGATAATCGTCACTGGTGTTGGTGGCCATGAGCGGGAATCGAATTCGGGACGCCGGGTTCATAATGCAGAACCCTAACCGCTGCACTATCATTCCCAGCAGTTGAATACGCACACACACACACTCACCTGAACACACACACTCACCTGAACACACATACACACTCACCTGAACACACACTTACCTGAACACACAAACTTACCTGAACACACATACACACCAACCTGAACACACACTCACCTGAACACACAAACTCACCTGAACACACAACAACCCCGTTAACCACGACGTCGTGCCAGGCCAGGTGCACTTTGAGGCCACGTTTGAAATATCGAAGGCCCGCTGGCAGGAGGTCACGGGACAGACCCAGGTGCGATGGACTGACTGAGATAACTGGCAGATGCACCACCTGTGCCCCCTTCCTGTGCCAACTTTCACCTGAACAACAACCGCCATTCGCCACCAAGTGGCGGTGACTTCACCACCGCGCCTGTGCCAGGCTAGGTGCACGTTAAGGCCACGTGAAGTGTCGAACGCCCGCTGGCAGGCAGTCCACGGGGCAGAACCAGGTGCCGTGGGTCGACTGGTTTGAGATGAGTGGCCGATGCACCACCTGTTTCAGTTTCAGTTTTTCAGTTGCATGTATTAGGTATATAACCCTGTGAGCCATGCGGCTCTTGACTCGGGTGCAACCGCAACAAACAAAAACACGAACAAGAAACATCTCAAAGTGACTACACGCAACAGAAAAATCCAGGGAAAAACAGCAAAGTCTTCCAGAAAAAAACACCCCCACTCAGACGCTCCTGCTGAACAGGAAGACACACGCCCGCACACGCACACCTGCTACCTGTGTAACCGTGCCACCCTCTGCAGCTCCAGTTCATCCCCGCCACGGAAGCCCTTGGCGAATGGGTTGTTCTCAATCTTGAGCTGCGTGATCTGCAGGCAGCCAGAGGCAGAGAGAACGACAGTCGGGGGCCTGAGAGAGATGGAGTCCTCCTTCTGCTCAAGTCGGAATAAAGATTCTGATTCTGAGCTGGAGCTCAGAGCGCTGCATTTTAATTTCAAGACGTTTCCCCTCTCGGGAGATCAGTTTGGTTGAGCGGTGTTTCAAATCATCGCCCGATTTGAGTTACCGGAAGAGAGACGCAAATAAGCATGAGAAAATCATTGGCTAGATTGAAAAGTTTAAAGTAAATTGTATTGTTATTCATCTTAATAGTACTTGTGCATACTTATGTAAAATTGTTCACTGTTTGAGTGACAAGTTAAGACGGAAAAAGACCTGAGTCTGCTGCTGTTCTCCGGTTGCCTGAGTGAAACTATAAAAACTATAAACTATTTTTTTTATTTTACCAGGTAAGGTCCTACTGAGCTCTCAGAAGCTGCCTGGCTGCCGCAAATGATAACTCAAGGAAGTGGCTCATCACGTTGACATGTTCAGCAGCAGCAAAACACTCAAAACGCATGGTGGTGATGTTGATTCTAAATGTGGAGAAAAACCGGAGGACCCGGAGAAATAATCCACGCGACCACGGGAAGAGAGAAAGAGACGCAGACTCCAAATATACAACAGCAGTTGTCAGAGTCGGGATCGAACCCACGACCTCCTGCACACCTGGCGAGGTAGTCAACATCTCCTAGCCACCGTGATGATGACGATGAGAGAGAGAGACACGCAAACTCCAAATATACAGCAGCAGGCGTCAGAGTCGTGATCGAGCCCACGACCTCCTGCACACCAGGCGAGGTAGTCAACATCTCCTAGCCATCGTGATGTTGATGAGAGAGAGAGAGACACGCAAACTCCAAATATACAGCAGCAGCAGGCGTCAGGGTCGGGTTTGAACCCACGACCCCCTGCACACCAGGCGAGGTAGTCAACATCTCCTAGCCGCCGTGCTTGCCCCTTGCGCAACGGCGCATTTGACCCAAACCTGAGCCAAGCTGGCTGAAAAAAGAGCCCCATTGAACAAATAAAAATACTGACGCCGCAGGCGTGGGAGGAGGATCGTCTCGGGGCTCTGACACTCGCCAGTCCCTCGCGCCCTCATAAAGCGAAGGGGGCAACCTCCAGCCCCTGCAGTGGCCAACGGTAGCCCGTCCACAGCAGCAGCAGGAGCAGCAGCAGGAGGAGAAGGAACCCGACCCCCAAGTCCACCTCTGCGTAAATCTCCGCAGTAAAAAGGTCGCGGCTCGCGTGCGTACACGGCGCTCGCCACAACTCGCCGCTCACGCACAGAGAGAGAGGGGGGAGCGTGGCGGGGAGAGGAGGCGTCAGGGCACCCCCCCACCCCCCCAAGCACTGGCATGGAACTTGACGATGCCATTGCTACGGCTTCACTCCTGCACGTGTCCGTGCCCTCTGTGTTGTGTGTGGGGAGGGGGGGGCAGAGAGTGATGACACGGTGCAGTGGGAAGGTGCTGTGATGATGGTAACGATGGTGACGATAGTGACGATGATGATGTCAGTTTAACACGGAGGAGAGAGAGAGGACGACTCGGAGAGAGACTGGACTACGAGTGAGTGAGTGAGCGAGTGGTGGGTGAGTGAGTGAGGAGTGAGTGAGTGAGTGAGCGAGGAGCGAGCGAGTAAGTGAGGAGCGAGTGAGTGAGCGAGTGGTGGGTGAGTGAGGAGTAGTGAGTGAGTGAGCGAGTGGTGGGTGAGTGAGTGAGCGAGTGGTGAGTGAGTGTGTGAGGAGTGAGTGAGTGAGTGAGTGACGAGCGAGTGAGTGAGCGAGTGAGGAGCGAGCGAGTGAGTGAGTGAGCGAGTGAGGAGCGAGCGAGTGAGTGAGTGAGTGAAAAGCGAGCAAGTGAGTGAGGCCGAGTGAGGAGCGAGCGAGCGAGTGAGTGGGTGAGCGAGTGAGGAGCGAGCGAGCGAGTGAGTGGGTGAGCGTGCGCGTACGCGGTGGTTCTGGTAGGAGGTGACGGCGACGAAAGCTGTCTCGGGGAAGGCGTGCGTGCTGAAGGCGGTGCGCCCCGAGCCGAAGCCGTTGGCCTCGTCGGCACGCACCACGTGCAGCCGCGGCTGGTACTTGTGCATCGAGTTGAGGATGATCTGTGACGCGCAATCAGCCAATCGGCACGCACGCCGGCTTGTCAACCAATCACAAGCAGCACGTCAACTGTCAACCAATCACAAGCAGCACGTCAACTGTCAACCAATCACAAGCAGCACGTCAACTGTCAACCAATCACAAGCAGCACGCCAACTGTCAACCAATCACAAGCAGCACGCACATCAACTGTCAACCAATCACATTCAAGCAATATATCGACGATCAACCGATCACAAGCAGCACGCCAACTGTCAACCAATCACAAGCAGCACGCACATCAACTGTCAACCAATCACATTCAAGCAATATATCGACGATCAACCGATCATAGGCAGCACGTCGACTGTTCATCAGTTTTAGCGTCAACCAACCAGTTACTAACTCTCAACCAATGACTTACAATCAGCCACCATGTGAACACGCAGCCACCAATCACAGAATGAGAAACTACCCATTCAAGTACTCAGTCGGCAGCTCGACCAGTCAGGTACAGAGTAAACAAGCCAATCAGATAAGGAGAGCGGAGGAGGCGGAGGGAGGAGGAGGAGGTGGGAGAGAAAGGGGGAGGAGGAGGTGGGAGAGGAGGAGGGGAGGAAAAGGAGGTGGGAGAGGAGATTGGGAGGAAGAGGTGGGAGAGGTGGAGGGGAGGTGGGAGAGGTGTGAGAAGAGGGGAGGATGCGGGAGAGGAGGAGGCGGAGTGGTGGTGGTGTGTGTGTGTGTGCTGTACGTAGTGGTGGTGTGCGTGTGTGGCGTACGTGTCCGAACGGGTCCAGGTGGTTGTTGGTGAGCTTCAGCTTCTGGAAGGAGACGAGTTGGCGCATCCAGTGGGCGCCCGGGGCGGGCGAGTCGGGGTGCACGTAGAGGCGGCCGGGCATCGCCGCCTCGGCCTTGCCGCTCACACTCCTGCCCCCCCCGCCCCACACCCGCACACCAGGTGCCACGAGTCAGCGACAGCAGCGGCAGCGGCGACGGCGTTCACGGCGCGCGGGGCTGTCGCCACCGAATGTTACGGATCCAAAGAATTTGATTTTGCCGGTCAGATCGCGCTCGCTCGCGTGTGCGCGTGTGCCGGTAGAATTGCCGTAAAACCCCCCGCCACCCGACGCAGAGCGATGAACGGCTGTCCGACGCTCCGAGACGTCAGCAGGTCGCAGGGGGTGAGGGTCTCCCCGCTCGCCGCCGAATCTCGGGACGCGCGGCCGCGGGTTCGGCGTTCATTTCTTTCGAGAGAGGCGTCGCAGCGGCGCCGCTGTTTCTAAAGACGTTGCGCTCACAGCAGAGAACTGTCGCGACACGACCGCCGCCACTCTGTGGTAGCCGGCGCCGACACGACGCCACGCGGAGCCACGTGGCCTCTCGCGTGGCCTGCTACCTCCGATTCCGTTGGGAATCGACTCCGTTCAAGCGACGACACAAACGTACGGAACGGAATCGGCAGAAAAACCGACGACGTACGCTAACCCCGCCCCCCCCCCTCATCCTAGCCCCGCCCTCGCCCACTAGCCCCACCCACCACTTGTTGTCTGCGAACTTGTATCGGTGGCCGTCGGCGGGACACACGTCCATGAGCAGGATGTACTTGGTGCGCGGGGACAGGCCCGACACACGCACCTTTAGGCCCGGGAACATGCGGCTGCGTGCGGACACGGGGACATGGGACATCGGACATGTAACATGGGACATGTAACATGGGACACGGGGACATGAGACACGGGGACATGTAACATGGGACACGGGGACACGGAGACATGTAACATGGGACATGGGGATATGGGACACGGGGGCACGGGGACATGGAATATGGGGCATGGGGACACGGGGACACGGAGATAGTGACGTTGGTCGTTACCGATGACTCGTCACGGCAGCGTGGGGTGACGACGCGAGGCGAGTGCCACGTTCAATGTTTTCTCCCCGAGTTTGAACATTATTACACTTTAGCGTTTCTCACCACGTGGCCTCCCGTCACACACCACGTGGCCTCCCGTCATATGGTGTGTGTGTTGTGTACATTTTATAGTGTGCGTTGTGTAATGCGTCGTGTGTATATTGTGTATTATGTCGTGCATGTTATAGTGTGTGTTGTGTGTACATTGTGTACATTGTGTAGTGTGTTGTGTGTACATTGTGTAGTGTGCGTTGTGTGTACACTGTGTAGTGTGCGTTGTGTGTACACTGTGTAGTGTACGTTGTGTGTACATTGCGTTGTGCCTTGCGCGTCGCGTCGGTCTCACCGTCCCGCCTTGGTGATGATCATCTCGGTGCCTGCGTCGTGGAAGCGCCCCCACAGCTCCTTCTCGTGCAGGTGGACGCGCGCCCCCTCCAGCCCGCCCTGCACAGACAAAGACCCCCCAGGTAGCCTCAACCACACCGCCGGGGCAAGTGCCGCGAGGAGCGAGCGGCAGCAGCAGCAGCAGCAGCAGCAGGCCGGTACGGCCACGCGACGTGGTGGGGTGGCGAGCGCCACGCCCGGCCGCCCCTCAGCCTCATTTGAGGCTGAGTCGACTTAGGGGAGGCCCAGGACCGGTTCGGATGTTGGTCATGAGCGGGAATCGAACTCCGGTGGCCGGAGTCGTTAGCTTAGTGGTCAGGGCGCTGACCGCTACGCTACCGCTCCCCACGCTATACAATAAAAAAAAACAAAGATCCCCCGTGTAGCCTGTAGCAGACTGTTGGGGCAAGTGCTGTTAGCGAGCAACAGCACCTATGAAGGCCGGCACGGCACACGAGGCGGTGGTGTGGCCAGCACCACGCCCGGCCGCCTTTGTCTCCCTAGTAACGATGCTTACTACACACTGCACCAGGTACTCATTTGATGCTGAGTCGATCTAGGGGAGGCTCAGGACCGGTGAAAATGTTCGCCACTGCTATTGGTCGTGAGCGGGAATCGAACTTGGGTTCGTTAGGTTCGTAGCGGAGTGCGCTGCTAACCGCTACACCACCGCTCCCCACTGCACCTGCACGCAGCATGAGTCCTTTGGCGAGTGAGTGCCATTGTTGAGTTAGTAGATGGGTGGGTGGGTGAGTGATTGGGTGAGTGGTGATTACTTTGGGAAGTTCAGTGGGTGGGTGAATGGGTAAGTTGGTGAGGTGAGTGAGCGAGTGAATAGGTGAGCGAGGTTTTGACAGTTCGGGGATGGGTGAGTGACTGAGCTGGTGAGACGGGAATCAGGTGAGTGAGTTGGTGAGAACGTTAGTCAGACCGTGTGTGATTTGGTGAGTCGGTGGATGCGTGGGTGATTTCGTGGATGGCTGACAATGAGAGTGTATCGGAGATTCGGTGAGCAATTCTGTGGGTTCGTGAGTGGGTGAGTGAGCATGTTGGTGAGCGAGTTGGTGAGCGAGCGGGTGAGTTGGTGAGCGAGTTGGTGAGCGAGTTGAGGAGCGAGCGGGTGAGTTGGTGAGCGAGTTGGTGAGTGAGCAGGCGAGTTGGTGAGCGAGTTGGTGAGCGAGTTGGTGAGCGAGTGGGTGAGTGAGCGAGTTGGTGAGCGAGCGGGTGAGTTGGTGAGCGAGTTGGGGAGCGAGCGGGTGAGTTGGTGAGCGAGTTGGTGAGTGAGCGGGCGAGTTGGTGAGCGAGTTGGTGAGCGAGTTGGTGAGCGAGTGGGTTAGTGAGCGAGTGAGTTGGTGAGCGAGTTGTCAGTGAGTGGGTGGTTTGGTGAGCAAGTTGGTGAGCGAGTAAGTGAGTTGGTGAGTGGGTGAGTTGGTGAGCGAGTTGATGAGTGAGCGGGCGAGTTGGTGAGTGAGTGAGTTGGTGAGTGAGTTGGGGAGCGAGCGGGTGAGTTGGTGAGTGATTGGGTGAATTGGCGAGCGAGTTGGCGAGCGAGTTGGTGAGTTGGTGAGCGAGTTGGTGAGCGAGTTGGTGAACGAGAGAGTGAGTTGGTGAGTGATTGGGTGAATTGGCGAGCGAGTTGGCGAGCGAGTTGGTGAGTTGGTGAGCGAGTTGGTGAGTGAGAGAGTGAGTTGGTGAGCGAGTTGGTGAAATGGCGAGCGAGTTGATGAGTGAGCGGGCGAGTTGGCGAGCGAGTTGGGGAGCGAGCGGGTGAGTTGGTGAGCGAGTTGGTGAGTTGGTGAGCGAGTTGGTGAGTTGGTGAGCGAGTTGGTGAGCGAGGTGGTGAGGAGTGTCACCTGCTGTGGCGTGGGGGCGGGACTGTGGGCGGGCGAGGCGGGAGGGGGGGGCTCTGGGGGAGACGCGGGGGAGCGAGGCCCTGGCCCCGACTCGCCCGACATGGCTCTGCGGAGGAAGGCGACACGGGCGTGGTGAGCCGGGGCTGGTGGATCACGCACAGAGCGCCGGGTGCTACCGTGCTCAGCGTTACTTTACGGGGCAGCTCGAAACTATTTAAAATTTAACATTTTTTAATGTTTTACCAGGTCAGGCCCCACTGAGCTGCTACGTGGCTCTTACTCAGAAGCGACCTCGCCACCACTGGTGACAGCTGCTGGACCAAGTGGCGGATGATTATCATCATCATCACCACGTGGACATGTAGAGCCAGCGGCGAAATAACTCACAACGCGTGGTGGTGTTGGTTCTCAATGTGGGAGGGAGAACCCCGGAGGACCCGGAGACAAATCCACGCGACCACGGGGAGAGAGAAAGACACGCAGACTCCAACTATACAGCAGCAGCAGCAGGCGTCAGGGTCGGGATCGAACCCACGACCTCCTGCACACCAGGCGAGGTAGTCAACATCTCCTGGCCACCGTGGCGCCTGTGAGAGCCGACACGGCGCACGAGGGAGTGGGTGGGTGGCCGCCACCACACCCAGACCGCCTTTGTCTCTCCAGCAGTGATGTGTACACATCGCATCGCACCAGCTACACGTTTGAGGCTGAGTCGACCTAGGGGGAGGCCCAGGACCGGTTCAGATAATCGTCACTGGTGTTGACGATACAACTCCCCCCGAGTCCCAGCCTTCCTCCTCCCCCCCTTTCACCCCCCCCCCCGTTAATCCCCTCTAAGACAATGGCGTGTAAAATAAATAAATAACAGCACGAGCTCAAAGGCACCGCGACCCTCAACCCCGACTCTAACTCTCACTTGGCAACTTGAAAGCTTCGCCTCCCTCCCTCCAGCAGCGCTGCCCCCCCCCCCCCGTGACCCCGCGGCGTTGGATGGGACACGAAGCCTCAGCAGCCCCCCCCGGGAACCCCCGGACCCCCCCCCCCTCCCTCAGGACCCCGGGACCCCCCCCCCCTGGATCGTGGCGCTCACGGGTTCAGTGGTCGGTGAAAGGGGAGAGCCTCGACTCTTGAGCTCATGGCTTAGATACACACACATACCTACCTACACACACACACACCTACCTACACACCCACACACACTTACCTACACACCCACACACACTTACACACACACCTACCTACACACACACACTTACCTACCTACACACACACACACTTACCCACCCACCTACCTACACAACACACACACACTTACCCACCCACCTACCCACACACCCACCCACCTACACACACACACACACACTTACCAACCTACACACACACTTACCCACCCACCTACCTACACACCTACCTACACACACACACCTACCTACACACACACATACTTACCCACCCACCTACCTAAACACCTACCCACCTACCTACACACACACTTACCCACCCACCTACACACCCACCCACCTACCTACACCCACCCACCCACCTACCCACCCAGCCACACACCTACATACACACCCACCCACCCACCTACCCACCCAGCCACCCACATACCTACACACCTACCCACCCACCTACCTACCCACCTACCCAGCTACCCACTCACCTACCCACCCACCTACCTACCCACCTACCCACCCGTTTACCCACCTACCCATCTACCTGCCTGCATATCTGTACAGCGAGGATCCAGTAAACCACGTGGCAACGTTGGGACGACGCGCTTGGAGGGGTTGGACCAACTCGGGACTCAACGTTGGACCACCGCTCCCGAGTTCACTCCGGGGTGTCTGGGTCCAGATCCCAACACTGGCGCCTTTCGCTGTGGAGTTTGTGTGTTCTACCCATGTTCTACAGAGTGAGTGGAGTTTGTGTGTTCTACCCATGTTCTACAGAGTGAGTGGAGTTTGTGTGTTCTACTCATGTTCTACAGAGTGAGTGAGTGGAGTTTGTTTGTTCTACCCATGTTCTACAGAGTGAGTGGAGTTTGTGTGTTCTACCCATGTTCTACAGAGAGAGTGAGTGGAGTTTGTATGTTCTACCCATGTTCTACAGAGTGAGTAGGGTTTGTGTGATCTACCCATGTTCTACAGAGTGAGTGGAGTTTGTGTGTTCTACCCATGTTCTACAGAGTGAGTGAGTAGAGTTTGTGTGTTCTACCCATGTTCTACAGAGTGAGTGGGGTTTGTGTGTTCTACCCATGTTCTACAGAGTGAGTGGAGTTTGTGTGTTCTACCCATGTTCTACAGAGTGAGTGAGTGGAGTTTGTATGTTCTACCCATGTTCTACAGAGTGAGTAGGGTTTGTGTGATCTACCCATGTTCTACAGAGTGAGTGGAGTTTGTGTGTTCTACCCATGTTCTACAGAGTGAGTGAGTAGAGTTTGTGTGTTCTACCCATGTTCTACAGAGTGAGTGGAGTTTGTGTGTTCTACCCATGTTCTACAGAGTGAGTGAGTGGAGTTTGTATGTTCTACCCATGTTCTACAGAGTGAGTGGGGTTTGTGTGTTCTACCCATGTTCTACAGAGTGAGTGGAGTTTGTGTGTTCTACCCATGTTCTACAGAGTGAGTGGAGTTTGTGTGTTCTACCCATGTTCTACAGAGTGAGTGAGTGGAGTTTGTTTGTTCTACCCATGTTCTACAGAGTGAGTGGGGTTTGTGTGTTCTACCCATGTTCTACAGAGTGAGTGGAGTTTGTGTGTTCTACCCATGTTCTACAGAGTGAGTGGAGTTTGTGTGTTCTACTCATGTTCTACAGAGTGAGTGAGTGGAGTTTGTTTGTTCTACCCATGTTCTACAGAGTGAGTGGGGTTTGTGTGTTCTACCCATGTTCTACAGAGTGAGTGGAGTTTGTGTGTTCTACCCATGTTCTACAGAGTGAGTGAGTGGAGTTTGTATGTTCTACCCATGTTCTACAGAGTGAGTAGGGTTTGTGTGTTCTACCTATGTTCTACAGAGTGAGTGGAGTTTGTGTGTTCTACCCATGTTCTACAGAGTGAGTGAGTGGAGTTTGTGTGTTCTACCCATGTTCTACAGAGTGAGTGAGTTGGGTTTGTGTGTTCTACCCATGTTCTACAGAGTGAGTGAGTTGGGTTTGTGTGTTCTACCCATGTTCTACAGAGTGAGTGGAGTTTGTGTGTTCTACCCATGTTCTACAGAGTGAATGGAGTTTGTGTGTTCTACCCATGTTCTACAGAGTGAGTGGAGTTTGTGTGTTCTACCCATGTTCTACAGAGTGAGTGAGTAGAGTTTGTATGTTCTACCTATGTTCTACAGAGTGAGTGGATAATTGTTTTTTTTACCCTTTTATGTGGCAACAAAACTGACACCTTTTTTTACAAGGAGTCATGATTGCATTGACCACAATACCTGCGGTCGGAATGCAAACAAAAAACGCAACTCTCATTGTGACCCCACCAGTTTGACCCTGACCCGACCCTGACCCCCACCAGTTTGACCCTGACTTGACCCTAGCCTGACCAGTTTGACCCTGACCTGACCCCACCAGTCTGACCCTGACCTGACCCCACCAGTCTGACCCTGACCTGACCCTGACCCCCACAAGTCTGACCCTGACCCGACAATCGTACCCCCTTGACCGCGGTAGTCGGAGTCGACGCGTTCCTGAAGAGTTCCGCGTTGAGCAGCAAGGACTTGCCGCTAAGTGATGTAAGTACTTGACGCTTTCGTGACTGCAGGGATTCATCATATTCTTGGGGTCTTTCGGTAAAGTCACGTAGATAGGTTGAAAGAAAATAAATAAAAAACTACGACGTTTCGATCGCAGCACAAGCGGTCGCCGTTATTTTTTTGTGATTTTTTTTCCACCTACCGACGTGACTTTACCGAAAGACCCAAAGACGACGATGTCATTACGACGAATCGTGGCGAGACCCGCGCGCTGATGCTGCTACTGCGCACAGCGCGCGCCGAGACAGCGGGGCAAATAGCCGAGGGCACGCCGCTGCGTTACGCTTGTGTCACTCCGCGTACCGTGTCCCTCCGCTCAGCCGCGCAGATCAAGAAAGTAGTTCGTCGTCCAGAAACCGCGTTATAACGGGGGTGCGCGTTCCACGTTATAACGGGATGCGCATTTTGCGTTATAACGGGATGCGCATTTTGTGTTATAAAGGGCGCATTTTGCGTTATGATACCGCTCTGCCATGAAGAAGGGCTATTGCCTGAAACGTCGACTATTTGAAACATGTATCCCCCCCTCTTTGGGACGGTGTTGCTGTGTTGAGGTTTTCGTGCCAACGCTGCACCACAAATGTTATTTTCACTTTCGTTTAGTTTGATCGTTTAAATTATATCGGTTGTACGAGTTAAACTGCTTGGTGCCTTGTCCAAGTATATGTCATTGGTTTAACTGAAGAATTACAAGTTTAAACAAACGTTTTAAGACAACGTTTATATATATATTTCACAATAAAGTTGTTTGTGCTTCTCGCTGTATGAAAGATTATTTATCGGGATGAATGAAACTCATCTACACCGCATACTCTTATCGAAACCAGCCAGAGCCTCCAGTAAACCACGTGACTTGTGTGTGGCCACCGTCACTCTGAACATCTCTCATCTATCGATCTCTATCGCCACTATCTTGAAACCAACTCAATCAATCTTGATTTGAAGCTTTCGTGGCTGCAGGAATCCATACTCTTTGGTTCGTTCGGTAAAGTCACGTAGGTAGAAATAAAGTGATGTAAAATAAAATATTATTTTATTTCTACCTACGTGACTGTACCGAAAAAAACAACCCTGGTATTCATATCAGAAGCTGTGTTCGTCCTGGAAAAATCCGATGAGCTATGAAGCTCTTTTTTCCCACAGGTGTCCCCTCTCCGATGTTTAGGAAGCTCTGCACTTTTAAATCTCGATTGAAAAACTCATTCCATGAGAACTACTTTTGTCGTATTTAGGTTGTAGTCCTTCCCCCGCACCGCCGATTAGCCACGGGTGGTTACGTACGGTGCGAAAGAAATTCAACGTACATCTTGGATATTATACTCTTTTTCAGAAGCGACCTCACCACAAATGAGAGCTCA